TTTATTTGAATTTTATTCTATTTTTGATATATTCAATATGAGTCTGAAGATGAGGTGTTAATGTTCCAAAAAGCATTTAATCTCAATAAATATAGGTCATAAAGGAACTTGACCCACTAACAGTGATCTTAGAAGTGTGGAAAGTGTAGAATCCATTTAAACTTTTTCTGGATAAATACAGGGTGACATGCACTCATGATATATGAAAATAGGAGTATAGCACATATCATGGTTACAGTTAATGTAACCGTAATTTGGAATTTTTCAATACAAATGCTAGGAATTCACAATGTCATGAGATTCTATGTGATGGAAAACAGCATAAGGCATTGGAACAGTGTTTGTAGAATGAGAAACAAGAGCGATATCAGTGTTTGAACAATGGGAAGCAGATGAGCCAACACCTGAGATAGAAGACTCATATATATTCATGGATGAGGGAGAAAACAGGAAAATGCATACTTTGTTGAATTCTGTTCAACAGATGCTTATACTACACAGCTGATGTCACAGTAAGCTTCAGCTACGATGCTGCTGCTTCATCTGTGAACATGTATGGGTCTTCTGTTGTAGGTATTGCCTTGCTTACTTTCCTTTGTTCAAATACTGATATCTCTGTTGTTTTTCATTCTCATACCATTCCAATGCCTTAGGCTGTTTTCTATCATGAAGAATCTTGTGACATTCTTGATGTCTGTATTGGAAATTTTTGAGTTGTGATTATGTGTGACATGTGTTCTACTTCTATTTTCAAGTATTGTGAGAACATGTCACCCTGTACTTATCCAACAAAAGTTTCAATGGATTTCTTGCTTTTTGCACTCTCTAGATCACCATTAATTGGTCAAGTTACTTTATGAACACCCTTTAAAATTATTTTCATGTTGGCATTAAGAACAGTTATTTTCTTCTTAATTGTGAGTTTAGCTAAAAATGACTCCTTAAAGTTTTTAAGCTTTATTATATTCACATTTGCTTCATAAAATGAAAATGGAGTTGACTGTTTCATGACAGTTATAAATATGCTACTGTTTATGAAATGAAATAAGAACAAACATTAAGTTATTAAAAATAGTTTTTGAATTTACAGGGTTTTTAATAAATTAAATAAAATTAAGTATTTAATAATAATACATTTAATTAATGTTATTTTTAAAGTCAAAAATTCTGTTTATTAGATGGATCCAGAGAAGGATCGTGAAATAGCTGATCATGTTGTAAGAATGCATAGATACAGAGCTCCTGGTGAAATGGATGGTGAACGTAAGTACATTTAAGAGAATATTATTGTTTGTTACTTTTAACTTTAAGTATTTTGAAAATTTAGCAAAATGAATATTTTTATTGTACTGTGATTAGATGTTATAATTAATTAATGAAATGAAATAAAAATTAATTTAAAAATTCAAATTTATTATGCTAAATTTCATGTTATTTTGTATTAAAAATACAGAAAGACATTTAAATCTGATAGATTTATGAATATAATAATGAATGCATAAAAATGGCTTGAATAGAACTCAATTTTTTTGTTTTTTTAAAATTATTTTCATGTTGGCATTAAGAACAGTTATTTTCTTCTTAATTGTGAGTTTAGCTAAAAATGACCACATGACAAGGGATAGGGTCTGACATATCCAGGCCAAACCATTCTGATTCTATATAAAAATATCAGTATGCAGCTCTGACAGGTCAAGATTCAAGGCTTGAATCTTAACCTGTCAGAGTTCAGACTAGTATTTTTATGCCCTTATCCATCTATTTATCTTATTTTTAATCTACATTAAATGTTGAGATTATTAAAAGAAACAGTTTTTAGTGTAGTAGGACATTATTTTTAAAAGTTTTGAATTAATTTGGAATCAATATGAATTTAAAATATTCTGTTTAGTATGGTATTAATTTTTATTATTTTGTAATTACATTTTGATTTTTATTTCTATGGTTTATATAAAAAAATATTTAGCTTATTGTATACTTTTCTTATGTTTTGAGAAGGGAAGAGAGATCAGCATAAAAGAAAAGGAAGGACTGTATTATAGAACATTGTTGATAATTATGTAGATTGCTATTGTAATAAAGTTTACATTAATGTTATTTTAAAATTTACTTTATCTCAAAAGTTTATCTGTTACTTTAACATAATACTGAATTACCATATGAAATAACATTTGAGACAAAAATTTCAGATCAGGAGTGACCAAACTTGTGACAGGAACCATATATTACTAAAATACTATATTTATCACTGTTCTATAGTAAATGTTACTTTATAAATGTACTCTTAGGTTTCAGCTGTCTGTTTGTGATTAAGTTCAAGTTATATTTACAATCTATGTGTATATCACACTATATAATAGCCAGAAAACTTACATACGAAACTATTACATATCTGTAAGTAGTATCAAGTTTATAAAAATAAATTGTATAAACAGATGGGAGCTGCAATAAGGGTTTAAAAGAGCTGCATGCAGTTCATGAGTCATAGTTTGGCCACATGGTTCTAGATCATAACAAATGTATTCCCTTTATAATTGAATGGAACATTCAATATAATGAGAGAGGTATGTGTTGTTCAATATAATGAGAAAAATAAAATTATATAATAATTGTTGTACTAAAGGCAAGTCTTGTTACAGGGGAGAGATCAGTTAATATAATTTTTAGAAAAATAAAAATTATAATAGATGATAGTACATTATAAAACACTAATTAGTAATTAGTAATATTAATTATTGTGATAATAACCAATGTTATAAAATACATACAATTTTAAAAATACAAACAAAGTGCTGCATCCTTTTATGCAGCAATCTTAAATATAAAAACTTTAACATTTTTCAATATAAAATGCCTATAATGTATGTAATCACAGTATTATAATATATTTAAAAGCTTAAATAAATATGTAGTATTTAAACAAATACAGTCAAATCTTGGTTTTTGAACATAATTTATTTCTAAAGGTTGTTCTAAACTGAAACAAATTTTCCCATAAGAAACAATATAAAATGGATTGATTCATTCCTGACCCCAAAATAAAACATTTTAAAATATTTTTAGCTGTATTTCATGCATAAAATGCCTATAAATGCAATGTAATATATATAATAAATTTATTATTTAATTTGTCTTACGCACCTTTAAACACAAATTCTTGGATTCTATTTATATTATATGAATGTTTATTAACATGGTTTTTATTAATTAATTTGATTTAAATTCAACTGTGGCATGTATTGAAAAACAGAAGTAATTCTTTCCTGCATGTGCATTGAAATCTAATTTAAATAGTAACATTATCAATGATTCATGTTGTGATATCTAAAGATACAAGACTGTTTTGGTGTCACTAATTTCTGAATTGGTAGTCCTGTCATTGATTGGTCAGGCTGTCAACTTTCTTTAATATAGGAAGTATAGGAAGTTGACCATCTCTGTCTCTCTAATCTGTGGCTGGCTGTTGCTGAGTAGCTTGTTCAATAACCAAGTTATCATATGGCAACTGGTGCAATTATGAGCTTGAAATTTTGTTTGTGAACTAATTTGTTTGAAAAGTGAATTGCTCAAAAACTGAGGTTCGACTGTGTCTTGTCTAAAAATTTTAATGCATAATTTTATGAATTTTAATTTGTGGGACAATCACAATATAGCATTTATTGTATTTATATTTTTAAATGTAATAATTTTAAAAAATAATTATGATATTAATAAGGTCATATTAAATCATATTAACTAATAAAAGAACTAATACTTAACTTTTTTTTATAGATTTGAATTAATTTCAGTTAGTGATATATTTAAACTATTTTAGCTTTGCCCATAAATTCAACTGCCGACTTCTTAACAACTCGCAATCCTGATGAAGAAGACAAAGCTACTGTTTCTTTATACGAAAAATATGATGCACTTCTTCATGGATCAAGATCAAAATCGTAGGTTTCTTTATAAAAAAAAATTAATTAGTAGTTTTGTCATTTAATTAATAGAATGTGGATTTTTCAAAATATTTAAACTGTATATGCGCTATATTCTTGTTAATCTAAACTATACTTAATCTGAATCAGATGTGTGTATTTTTTCTGCTAAATTATCCAGCAGTAAAAATATTATTTTTAAAAAACACGATAAATTTGTAAAATTAATAAATACTACACATTTTAACATAAATATATGTGTAGAACATAGAAACAAAATTTTTAGATATATGCATTTATCTATAGTTTTTTTTTATTTTCCATTATTTATATATAACTTGATAATCTGAACTAATTAATTTAGATTTAATTTACTGTATTTACTCACATATAAGACAAGGTTTTTATTCATTTTTCACTGCTTCAAAAACCTAGGTCGTCCTATATGCATGAACAAAGGATTCTTTGCATTTTTGTAATAATTTCTGTGAACCGTGTATACTTCATTCTGTCATTATAGGTCTACAGTCTATTTATCATAAGTTGTCACCTACTGTAAACAAATTAAGACACATGCCCCTTTAATTCTATATCCATCAATTAAAACCTCATTGCATCTCATTGGTTCTCAGAAAATAGTTTCTTGTTATTTATAAAAACATTAATGAAATACAAATACAGGTCACTTAGCAATGATTATAAATGTAGTTATTTTATATTAGTTAAATTGTTATTTTTAACAAATATTAGCACATTCTGAATCATCAAAAATAAACTTTTTCTGGTCATATGCACTATAATGTTTTGGTTTTGTTTTCCATTCATCATGTATTAAGGCAAACATGGTCATTTGCGTTAATACGTGCATTTGATAATATTTTGTGATTAAATGAAATGAAACTAGAATTATATAAATAAATCTAATTTTCTTTATTTTAATCTCTATAGTCACACCTTGTCCTATACATGAGATCGTCTTATACTTGAGTAAATACTGGTGTATATACAATTAATCTAATGTAATTAAAAATATGTGTAACTAAATATACATGAATAAATAATAAATCTTGTAATCCTCCATCTCATATTAGTAATGCTTTCTATGCATTACTAATATGATATGGAGAAGAAAACTTTACTTAAAATAGTCAAAAATAAAAATTGGACTACTTTCGAAGAACGAAACAAACATTTAGAAGATATACATACCTTGAATAAACAAATTAGAAAAAATATCCGTAATGAAGAGAAAAACTATTACANCTTCCTATATGTGAGATTGTCTTATACCCTAATAAATACGGTAATCTTTATTCCAATTTGAAGTTCTTTTTAATACAGTGTTCCATTCAAAAGTACTCAATTTAATTTGGCTATAAAAAATTAATTGCTAAAGATATAAAAGTTCAGCAAAGATTTTACATGAGAGAAAAAATCACATCTCTGTGCATTCCAGCAGTTCCAGTGACAACATCAAGAAAGGATGAATTAAAATTGGGTACTTTTGAGTGGAATACCCTGAAATAATAGCCTACTTCTGATAAAAAAAATAATAAACTTGAACTCAATTGCTCTTTAAAAATAAACTAATGTACTTAAAACTCATGAATGAAAAATTGAGATAAAACAATAGTTTATGTAATTTTTAACAAAAGAATTATTAAATAATTTAGTGAGATAAAGTGCTATGATGCATAAAATTTTAAAATAAAATATTAATTAGACATCAAAGTAACAATTATGCTTTTTTTTTTAATATTTTAATGTTCAAATTTAAAGCAGATATCTATAAAACAAAAACTTTTGGTAGCATAAGTTAATAAAATTCAAAATATATATGTCTAAGAAATTGGCTTAACTAGTGCTGTATTTGAAAACAAATACAATAGAGTCCTGCTAGTCTGAACTAATTGGGACCAAGCCCTGTTCAGATTAGCTGAATAATTGAAATGTGAGAGACCGGATGAGATGGAAATTTTAATTAACCACAACAAAATGTATCAAATTAATTAATGCTTAAATTCACATATTCTATAAAGAAAAATTTTCCCAACATAGTAAAAAAAATGGAAGGATGTGATCTCATCTTTTCCCAGATTTACTTCCTTTCCAAAGGTGACACATCTTCCAAATGTATATGTCACCGGGAACTTTCATCTGAAATTTATCTATTGGTCAAAACTTTAATGTTACCTAAAAAGGGCATCAAAATCAAGGAAGAGGACCCCCAAATAAAAAGACAAACATTGAAATTGATGAGTGAGTTTGCCTATCCATATCCTTGTGAAAGTGTATTCCAGCCATGCTCCACCGCGAATCCCTTCAACCACCGCTATTGCTGGACCATAGCTGTTTTTATTTACCAGACATTCGACCAAAAACTGCACTATCTGGGAGTATTACCCAATCCAGCAGAAACCTCTTCACCCCTTCATCAACCTACCAATCAAGGTATTTCACATCATGCATAATAATGTAAGCTCTCTCTCTTAGCTAGGAACCTGTTAACTTCAGTACTCAATTATGTTATGCTATATAGCTTTATCCAATTTAAGCCACTATTTGAAAGCTATAACGGAACTCTCTGTTATCCTATGTATACATGTAAATTATTTACAAAAATAGATGGGTATTTTTCCTATATAATTAAGTTGTAGTGTGCACCTCTTTCGGCTGCATTGTCTCTCAGGCCATCTCCATCCAGACCCCTAGTGTCTACATACGCAACCACTCGCGCAAAAATCAGAACAGCAGCCAACAAGGTTTATGTATCTGCCGTAAAGGATACAATGGTGTCAGTCCTGACATAGTCATCACTGGTCTGGTGACAACCCTCTGGTCACAGAAATAATGCAGAAGCAAGCAGTAAAGCAGAGAATGATGATGAGCCCGGTGGTACTGCTGACCAACTTTTGTCTCACGCAGATGCAGCAGTGGCCCTTGACCTCACTTTACACTACTTGGAACAACATCCCAGTGCTTCACTCACAGACTGCATGTTTATGAGACAGTGGCAAAACATAGCATTTTCTAGCCAACTTTCATCGTTATGTCAAAAGAAACTAACAGACTTTGTTATTTCTGAAAAATGACTTTTGTTCCTGGTTTTGTGTGTAAGTATTGTATAGATCTGCCATTTTAATAGGCCATGTCAAACACTGATTTATTAATTTTGTACAATATTAATAGAGTACTACAATAAAATACAATTTCTTTTTGTGGAATTTTAAATGTTTTTGTACCATTAATACCATTTAAATTCAACTGAAAAATACAAAAAAACGTATATTTTGTGAGCTAAAAGATTTTCTCTTTGCTGACCAAAACATGTTTGGATTACTTCACAACCAACAACTGTCTACCCTTAACCATTAACCGGTGCGAAATTCTTTAAAATCGGCGAACGTTTTCGATTCCCCTCCTGGGATCTTCTTCAGGCTTACTTCTTTATATCTTTCGTTATAACCGGATTCTTTAATTCGAATGTTTTTGAAAAAACGTAACGTGCTATTTTTCGAAAAAATTCCGAAAACGGAAGGAATCCACTTGTTATTTCAAATGTAATTTTCTACCAATGGGGAATCATTGTGTGCATTACGTCANCACTCTGTAGACTGTAGACATTCTTCAAGATGAAACATCTCAGATTTAATTGTAAGAAGTCATTTATTTCAATGTTGAGTACTTCTGAGAGGTTAATTTATCATAATCACAATGTTTAAAAGATGCAAGCAAAAATTAATTAATCAAATTATTAAAAAAAAATTTGTAAATAATTTATAAATGAATGTTTTTAAGTTAACTATCAATCCAAAGTTAAGAATTATAACCAAGGAGCTAAGAAAATGACCAAAGATGTGTCCATTATATTAACTGTTTATTATGGAAATGGCATAAGTTCATTTTTGGAAAAAATTGAGAAAATAATAATTTAGGTGTAATCTAGGATGAACTTTATAGACAGTTTACAGTTTAAAATATTCAGCTGCTTTGATTAATTGAAAATTTGTTGGTAAATGAAATCGCATAATCATTTATAAAAGTAATGCAAGTCTCTTTCATGTAGTTTAATTAAACAATAGATAAGCTAAGAAGTAAAACTTTGTCATTTTGCAATTAGACTTTTACTGTAATGCAAAAATCTATGAGTTTATGAAGACAATGTTTAATTTTGTATAAAATATTGATGGAGATTGTGGAATTTAAAACTAGATATATCATAAACCAGAGGGAGATCACCAAGAAACATCACATTAACACCTAGATTCTCTACAGTTGAAAAATATAAGGATATGATGCAGTTATTGCTTTACATACCTTCTATATATCAGAAATATTTCAAAACACTTTGAAATAACTATCCAAAATAAAAAAAGAATCTAATGTTAAACTTATAAGCATGATGTAATNTTTTAATGCTTAAAATAAGCATTAAACATATAGCCTTATTTTTATGTTCAGAAGGAAAATTCTTATTCCTTGAATTTTTCTTAGAAATTCTATATATGTATGATTAATTCTGTATATAATAACCTCAAATATCTGAGAAATATATATGATCCTCAGAAGCCCCTGAATATTCAATGAAATTTTACAATATATCAATATACAAAACTTACTGTATTAAAAATTTTTTAGTTTTTGATAATTACTACTGTTTATATTTATCTTTAAACTTTTATTATTTTTCAAAGGTGTAAAACAGGAAAGATGTTATAATTACTATTTAAAATTTTTTTCACTTTCAAACTTTTTATATATAGTTATTTATTTAATTTCTTTGAGATTATTTGGTTGAACATTGTTACAAAACTGAAAATAAAGCTATGTAACAACAAAGATACTGATAAACTAAAATTCATTGTGCCGCAATTTGGAAAAATTGTTGTAGACCTATAAATTCCAACTGTCGTCTGCCTGTTCTTCCCTTTCTCTTTCCTTAATCTTGAGAATGGAGTTAGATAGATGAAAGACGAGACCAGATATGGAAATCTTAGGAGCAGGAGGCTGTGATTAATTATATAAGAACATTCAATAGAAACCAGAAGTCATGTTATTTCAGTTCAAAAATTTTCCCCAAAAGGTGTTTGATAGATGACCGACATGACTCTATTGTTAAAGGAAAAGTATGATGTACAGGGGCAAGCTAAATTTGAGGTGGAGAGCATATATTTTAAATTAAGTAAACCCAAATATATAAAATTACTTGTCCTGACTGAATGACTGATTCATCATCGCCCAGAGCAAACCACTGAACCTAAAGAGGTGAACTTTGGTACACAGTTAGGGTACGACATAAAAACACACACTAAGAAGGGATTTTTTGAAATTCCCTCGCAGGGGGAGAGGGAGAGGATTAAGGTTTAACCAGAAGAACGGCTTCTACTGTACTATTTTAGATGCAATTTTTTGTTTTTATTTGCATTTTAGTAGGGTATACCATGAGAATGCACACTAAGAAGGGATTTTTTGAAATTCCCCCATGGGGGGCGAGGTTTTATCTTAACCGGAAGAACGGCTTCTACTGTACTATTTTAGATGCGATTTTCCATTTTCAACTACGTTTAATTTTCATTGAGTACTTAGATGTATTAAATTGATAACATTTCAGACATTATTATAAATATTTTTATCTATTTCGATTTTTTAACTAAATGTTCAAACCGTTTTAAATTTGAATTTGTTATTGCATATTGGTTCGATTATAGAATGATTGTAAACGTTCCAGAAAATTAATCAAATTGAAAACAGTTTCTTGGCAATTCTCATCATTCTCAGTGGTAGGTGTTATATAACAATTACTATGGTTGTTGAAATACAGAATATAAATGAGGTTTGCTTGCAAAATCCTCGCGGGCAAAGCCGCAGGTAACAGCTAGTTAAATATATGATTAAAAATTGCAGCTTGGTATTGTGACGATATCACACTAAATAATTGCTCGTTATAATTTCAAACACTTTTGTTCAATTTATTGAGCAAAATTCTTTCATCCAAGATTAATTTGATGTTGCTGTTATTCCTGTTACCTATATTCTACAAGGAATATAGAAACTGAAAAAAACTGAACTGAGAGCGTGCTGCCATTCATAGACATAGTAGAGAGTTCTCCCATTACATGGGGTTAGTAGAGACCTTCACGAAACAGCTGTGCAAATGGTGTCAGTTGTAGGTTTATGTTTGAGGTTTCTCTTACTGTTATTTTGTTCTACCTGTGAAGTTCTGGGCGTCCTTCAACATCTCAAAATGATGAAAACGTTGAAAAAATCTGCCAAAAAAGTGTTAAGACGTCTGCGAGAAGATGTGCGAAGGAAACGTCTGGAACTTTGGTGAGTAGGTGACTCGTTCCTTTATCATGACAATGCCCCCGCACACAGCCTTACGAGTGACCCACTATTTGGCCTCTCGGGGATGGCCTATTGTTCCCCACCCTCTGTATTCACCAGACCTAGCCCCATGCAAATTTTTTTGTTTCCGAGAATGAAGAAAAATCTAAAAGGGAAGCATTTTGATGATGTAGAGACAGTAAAAACAGCTTTGCTAAGGGCACTGGATGATATGAAGGTTGAAGAGTTCCAGAGATGCTTCAAACAATGGGGAAAAAGACTTCACAAGTGCATCGCATCTAATGGAGAGCACTTTGAAGGTGACTGAAGAAACTTTGTAAAAAAGTTAATAAAGAAAGTTTTTATACAAAAAATCTGGTTTTTTTTGGGTTTCCCCACGTATATAGATACTGCTAATATTCATATTACTATGGCTGTAGAAAACATTCTATTCTGTTAAATATTTTCCATGCTCATTTGCTTGAAGAATTTTGAATAAATTGAATGAAAGTGCTTGCAGTTTTATTAATTTTAGTTTACTGTTGTTATTGTTGTCAAATAGTTTTATTTTTGGTAAATCCCTTTATATCATATTTTTTTACAAGTTTATTTTCACCTATAACATTAGTTACAATATTTAAGTTGAAATAAACTTTTTATTTGCCTTTTAATTTTTATTTTATTAGACTAACTGTTTACTTAATTAAAGTTTTCTTTGTTAATCATCAGTTTCTACAAAAAACATTAGAATGTAATAGTTTACAATTATGTAGGGTGTTAACTTTAACATTTATGCAGGCAAAAGAGATATTTCCAGCATTTTGAGTTTTCTGCATATGGTGCATTAGTTCTACCATTTACAGTAAAATAAATTAATTCATTCAAAAAAAAGGACATAATATTATGTAAATTGCATTGTAGTTCCATGGCAATATGCAAATTTTTCAAATATAAGAACAAGCTGCAAATTAAAATTTGATGCTGACAAGTCATGTAGTAGCACACATTTTTACCATCCCTATTACAGAGCCATCATATAATTTGCTGATTGGTAGAGCTCTATGACTATACTCATGAGCACTGTTGTGAAATTATTCTTTATGGGGAAACGAAAAGCAACATCTAGATTCTATGAGCTACACATACAATAATTCTGAATACAATATGCCATTTAAAGCAAACTGATGTCATCAAGCTAATCAGAAGTCCTGGTCCAGACCACCCTTGTGTTCATGACATTGAAGTGCAGTCAAACCTCAGGTTTTGAAAAATTTTGTTTACAAACAAAATTTTGAATGCCATATTTGTCCTGTTACCATATAATAACTCAGTTGCTGAACAACCTCCTTGGCAAGAGCCAGCCACAAATTAGAGACATAGATGGTCAACTCCATATACTTCCTGTATTAAAGAAAATTGACAGCTCAACCAATCAACGAGGGGACTACCAATTCAGAAGTTAGTAGTGCCAATATTGCATCACATCATGAAACAAACCATTGATGTTGTTGTTATTCAAATTAGATTTCAATGTGCATATGGGTAAGATACTATGGTAATACCTTTGTTTTCATTGACTTTGGTTATTGTCACTTTCGGTTTTCATCAATTTTTTTTGCCAAAAATTGATCTCGGTTTTTGTCAGCATGCCCACATGACCTCACTGCTAATTTTGCATAAGAAAAGAGCGACCCTTGCGTTTTCCTTCTTAGTGTGGCATTGTTTCTCGTGTGAGCATTATTATCTCGTTCCTCTAGCCAAACAATTCCATTGCTTTCCTTTCCTTTTGCTCCATCTAGGGACCAAAGAAAGTTTCCAGAGCCAGCAGCCTTTCGAAGAAAAAGGAACACAATCGAGTTGAAGAAGGAAATCATTGAAAAATACGAGAGCAACATTATGATGGCTGAAATCAGTCACTTTTATATTCATTTTATATTACTTTCTTATTGTTTTTAGTTTTAAACACTATGTTTATTCTCTATAAAATGTGTTTTTGGTATTATTTTGGAGTGTCTAGAACAAATTAATTGGATTTACATTGATTCATAAGGAAATAATTGCCTTGGTTTCAGATTTCGCTGATTGTTTTTGGACAGATTATCAACGAAAACTGAAGTATCTCTGTACTTCTGTTTTTTTGGTACACATTGCAATTGAATTTAAATCAAATTAATTAATAAAAACTGTATTAATTGACATTCATATAATATAAATGACATCTGTGTTAAAGGTGCTTAACTCAAATTAAATAACAAAACTTTATTAGTGTTTTTTTTATTGCTTTTTAATATGTATTTTCATTATAGGGAGAAAATACTAAGTGTTCAGTTCATGAGAAAATATATTTACATAGCTCGCTGTCTTAAACCAAAATTGACACAAGAAGCATGCGATTGCATTGCTGAAGAATATGCTCATTTGCGTACAATGGAAACTGAACATACAGATCTTGCTAGGGTAAGTTAAAAAGAAACATCCGTATATTTGATGCATTTCTAATAAATGAATGCATATTTTATATTGATTTCATTTAGACTCAACCTGTTACTGCAAGAACGCTTGAAACGTTAATTCGATTGTCCACTGCTCATGCTAAAGCACGACTCTCAAAAAACGTGGAATTAGAAGATGCACAGACTGCTATAGAATTAGTACAATATGCCTATTTTAAAAAGGTTATAGAGAAACCAAAGAAACGTCAGCGGCGTGATAGCAGTGATGAAGAAATGGAAGAAAGTGAAGAACGTATGAGAAAAAAGTAATTGATTATTAAATTTCTCAAAATTATACAATTTTTTACTTTGATTTGAGATATAGTTTTAATTTATAATTCCAAAAAATATTGAGTAGTATAAATATCTTTTAATTTTTTCCACATAAAATGTAATGTTTTATTTAACAAAGATTTTTATAAAAATTGAAATTATCCTTTTAAAAGTTACAGTGATTAATAATCTGATATTATTCTATGTATGTTTTTCCCTTTTCTCTTGTTAAATTCTTTCATTCCTGAGGACTTAGAGAGTACCTTTTTCATGTCCTTCAAGTGTTCAACCAGACATATGACCACGAGGCATATTGAGCATATTTCATATACCATATTTACTTGCATATAAGACAATCTCGTATATAGGATGAGGTGTGACTTTAAAGATCAAAATAAAGAAAATTAGTTTTATTATTATAGAAAGAAAACTTCATTTGTATATTTGTACATGGTTATTATCACATATATATTGTAATTTTATATCTACAAGATTGCACACTAGAAAGTTCAAATTTAAAAACATTCCAAAACAAATTATGTTGTATACAAATCGAAATCATTTGATTTTTGTTCTTGAAGAAGGTCATTAAAAATGACCGAAAGCATTCAAAAAGATAATAAAATTAGATTTATTAATACAATTCTAATTTTATGTTGTTTAATCACAAATAAAATATCAAATGCACATAAATGTGCACACATTGTCATCCAAAAATTACTGGAATTTTAAACGTCAAGGAAAAATCTTGAAAAATCAACAATATAATTTGTTCATGTAAAGTTGGACAATTGGGAATCTTTTTTGCCAATTCTTAACAGTTGAATCCACTCTCCGTTGATTACTTTTATGAGTTTCTCCAAATTCTGATTTCTGAATAATCATCTGTTTTCACATGGGAATGAATTAAAACTTATATCGGGCTCTTGTGTAATTTTGGAATTCAATTCAAAAGTTTTGCTTTTCCTATTGCTATTGTGAGATCATGCTGAGGGNAAACGTCAGCGGCGTGATAGCAGTGATGAAGAAATGGAAGAAAGTGAAGAACGTATGAGAAAAAAGTAATTGATTATTAAATTTCTCAAAATTATATAATTTTTTACTTTGATTTGAGATATAGTTTTAATTTATAATTCCAAAAAATATTGAGTAGTATAAATATCTTTTAATTTTTGAAAACAATATCAATATATAAAAAACTTTAAATATCCTTTTTTATTTATTTTTTCATATATGAGAGCTTGTAGTTTACAAAATTATGTTGTATTCAATTCTATGTTGTTACTAAATATAAATTTCACATAAGAGTAAATTCTTAGTGTTAATTTTTTTTATTTAAAATGGGAAGAAAAACTTCTTGAATAATCAGATAAATAGGTAATCTGTCACCTGTATAAAATGTGCAAAAATTTCAAAATATTTCATAAAATATTACAATTGGATATNTATAATACATGATGTAAAAATTATTGTTCTTATATCTTATATATGATAAAGATCACTAAGGTATAAAAAGAGGTTTAAATGTGTTACACCATATAAATCTTTTATATTCATAAATTTTAATCTGAAATGTCTGTGGCCATCTATTTTATCCGCATTTCAGTTATTTAGGGTAGTATTGATCCACATTACCTCAGATAATCAAGATTTTACTGTGTTGAGATTAAACAATAATATTTTGTTTCTTGTTCTTATAAACAAAACCAGACTAAAATATTCCAGTAAAATTTAAATAATTCAAATTTAATAATTATGAAAATTGTGTAAGTGTATTTACAGCACAAAAAAGCTTTGATTTAGTTAATTCTTATAAAAATTATTTGTATAATGAATTTACACACATGTAAATTCATAGAAATGTGGGCAGACTTAGTAGACTTTATCAGTATTTTTGAATCTATTGAATTGAAACCCTTAAATATCTTGACACAAGAAAAAATGGACTTGCACCATTTCATAATAAACAGTCCACATAGGAAGCATATATAGGACTTTTGAAAGTACATTAGCAGAAGAGCTTTACAATAGCAAGGCACAAATAATGTTCAATGAATCAAAGTTCATAGTTACTGATATAAAAAAAAAACATACCTATATCATAACTGGGAGAACTGTCCATAAGTATTGAACCAATTATATATAATTATTAACAGAAAGAGAAACAGTTAGACTTAGCTCCTGTTATATTTGTTAATATCAGACTGATATCTGATTTTGTTTTTAAGAAAAATTTTTAAAATAATTTGTTTTTGTTTACTATTAGAATGNTGTTGTTAGTAAATATAAATTTCACATAAGAGTAAATTCTTAGTGTTAATTTTTTTTATTTAAAATGGGAAGAAAAACTTCTTGAATAATCAGATAAATAGGTAATCTGTCACCTGTATAAAATGTGCAAAAATTTCAAAATATTTCATAAAATATTACAATTGGATATGAAAGTAGGCATATGTTGTCTAGAAAATCACTTGAAAACATATCTTTAAAGAAGCCTTTAAAGTTTGTTTTGTGCTTTAATAATTATACTGTTCAAGCATATTAAATTGATTGTTAAATCCAAATTAATATCAAGTAGTATATATATTAGTGACTGCTCTATTTTGGGCAATGTTTAGCTTATTTTAATTTAAACTTCATTCTAACTATGGCTGCTAAAAGAAGATGCACTATGGATTGATACCCACATCAAATATTGTACAGTAGGACGGAGAGTTTACTGAGTTTGGCATTATAAGTCCTTTTTATTGCAAGTACTTTTGACATATTTATAATTGTCATTGTCAGGCAAATAAAGATTTTTAAAAGATCAAACAGAAATATTCTGAAGAAGAAGAACAGAACGCATATTATTCAAATTAAAATATTTGGTAAAACCGTTAAGAACAAACCACTAATTTTCGAACATGTTCAAAGTTGTGCATGCAATGTGATATGTATAGTGTGGCTTGTTCTTAACAGTTTTGCCAAATATTTTAATTTGAATAATATGCATTCTGTTTTTCCTCAGAATATTTCTGTTCGATCTTTTAAAAATCTTTATTCGCCTGATGACGACAATTATAAATTTGTTGAAAATACTTGCAATAAAAAGCACTTATAACGCTGAACTCAGTGAACTCTCAGTCATACTAAAAGAAGATGCAAGTGTCAGTCACCAACTTACATTTAATTTCCTATCAGTTCATTGTGTTTTAGAAATATGGGAACTTATAATTAAAGATATGGGATGTACTGTTGAGTTATTATTGTCAATTTTGATCTAGCAAAACTGTTAATCTGGCAAAGCTTTGGAACCAAGGGTGCCAGAAAAATGATAACACCTGTATCTTAATAGTTTTCCATATGTATTAGTGTATAAATTAATTATTTAATATCCTGATTAATCTAAAATCGAAAAATCAACTATAATAGTTTATTTTTTGATACGTAAATACAATGAAACATTATCATTGAATAATTTAAATATTTTTAAATAACAAAACTTTATTTGTGTTTTTTTTATTGCTTTTTAATATGTATTTTCATTATAGGGAGAAAATACTAAGTGTTCAGTTCATGAGAAAATATATTTACATAGCTCGCTGTCTTAAACCAAAATTGACACAAGAAGCATGCGATTGCATTGCTGAAGAATATGCTCATTTGCGTACAATGGAAACTGAACATACAGATCTTGCTAGGGTAAGTTAAAAAGAAACATCCGTATATTTGATGCATTTCTAATAAATGAATGCATATTTTATATTGATTTCATTTAGACTCAACCTGTTACTGCAAGAACGCTTGAAACGTTAATTCGATTGTCCACTGCTCATGCTAAAGCACGACTCTCAAAAAACGTGGAATTAGAAGATGCACAGACTGCTATAGAATTAGTACAATATGCCTATTTTAAAAAGGTTATAGAGAAACCAAAGAAACGTCAGCGGCGTGATAGCAGTGATGAAGAAATGGAAGAAAGTGAAGAACGTATGAGAAAAAAGTAATTGATTATTAAATTTCTCAAAATTATATAATTTTTTACTTTGATTTGAGATATAGTTTTAATTTATAATTCCAAAAAATATTGAGTAGTATAAATATCTTTTAATTTTTTCCACATAAAATGTAATGTTTTATTTAACAAAGATTTTTATAAAAATTGAAATTATCCTTTTAAAAGTTACAGTGATTAATAATCTGATATTATTCTATGTATGTTTTTCCCTTTTCTCTTGTTAAATTCTTTCATTCCTGAGGACTTAGAGAGTACCTTTTTCATGTCCTTCAAGTGTTCAACCAGACATATGACCACGAGGCATATTGAGCATATTTCATATACCATATTTACTTGCATATAAGACAATCTCGTATATAGGATGAGGTGTGACTTTAAAGATCAAAATAAAGAAAATTAGTTTTATTATTATAGAAAGAAAACTTCATTTGTATATTTGTACATGGTTATTATCACATATATATTGTAATTTTATATCTACAAGATTGCACACTAGAAAGTTCAAATTTAAAAACATTCCAAAACAAATTTTGTTGTATACAAATCGAAATCATTTGATTTTTGTTCTTGAAGAAGGTCATTAAAAATGACCGAAAGCATTCAAAAAGATAATAAAATTAGATTTATTAATACAATTCTAATTTTATGTTGTTTAATCACAAATAAAATATCAAATGCACATAAATGTGCACACATTGTCATCCAAAAATTACTGGCATTTTAAACTTCAAGGAAAAATCTTGAAAAATCAACAATATAATTTGTTCATGTAAAGTTGGACNTCAAGGAAAAATCTTGAAAAATCAACAATATAATTTGTTCATGTAAAGTTGGACAATTGGGAATCTTTTTTGCCAATTCTTAACAGTTGAATCCACTCTCCGTTGATTACTTTTATGAGTTTCTCCAAATTCTGATTTCTGAATAATCATCTGTTTTCACATGGGAATGAATTAAAACTTATATCGGGCTCTTGTGTAATTTTGGAATTCAATTCAAAAGTTTTGTTTTTCCTATTGCTATTGTGAGATCATGCTGAGGGCTAAACCCTCTTGTCATCAGGACGTTAAGGCCCACTCACTCTTATCCAATGATTCCTTATTCTAAGAAATCATTGGATAAGAGTTGCCCAAATCTTTCGATACATTCGACTGTCAGGACTGACACCAGTTAGGGAAGGATATCATCCCTTAACATGCAAAATGTTAGGGGATGATATCCTTCGAGCGGGAGGAGCAGGGGAGTCTTTGGGCGGGAGGAGTCTTGGGTAAGTCCGACTCGTAGCGGATAAATGGTCCAAATTTAGCAAATAAATGGAATCGATAAGTAAACATAACAATTAACGTTTAATAGATAAAAGAAATATACTATATACATTGTTCCAAATTGAATACAAGTTAGCATAATCAAACTTAACTCTAAATATGTCTCTATTCTTAGATATATAATTATGCCAAGGCGTATACAGCTAATCTTAAATGAGAAAGTAACAATTTCTATTTTATCCTTGCAAGAGAGAGAGAGAGTTTACAAGTATAATATAAATTGTACTACCTTACAATGTAAGTTGGTACGTAGTCTTCTTCTGTTTGGAGACTAAGGTTTGATATGTGGGACGATGGTGGTGGAAGTTCAGGAGGAGAATGAGAATCTTGTCAGGAACTTATATGCGCACAATTTAACTATAAGGACCAGAGATTCTTTGGCCAACTACCGTCTTCTATGGCATGTTTGACTTCTCATGAACTGCCCAGAAAGAGGGGAAAACTACCCTTTTATTGGGCTCTCTGACTAATGGCATAAAGTGATCCGTGGTTACAACAGGATGTGTGATGACGTGTAGAGGGAGTAAAAATACAGATGGTGGTCAGAATTACCAATAAAGTCCTGTAGGAAAGGAAGTTGATTTCCCTTTTCTTGAAAAACATGATGAATGTAACTTCCCCTTTTTGTAAACAATATGTAAGAAATAATTTTACTATGCTAATGAAGTAAGAATGCATTTTCTTATGCTATATTAGCTATAAAATTCTGATTCTCACACTATTCATCTTCATTCCTGACAATACACAAGAATGATTCAAATGACACAGATAAAATACTTTTGTTTTTAAATGCCAAAAGGTGAGAATCTGGTAAAAAATACAAATACACAGTTTACAAAAATTATTGCAAAAACACAAAGATCCTTCGCTCACATGTATAGCACAACCTAGGTTTTTGAAGCAGTGAAAAATGAATAAAAATTTCGTCTTATATGCAAGTAAATACAGTATTTTCTTGTATGTTAGGCAGACTTCAAAAGAGAAGTGATATTGAATCAGCTAATAACTGTTAAATTTAATGCAGTTTAATAAAATAAAAAAAGGTTTATATCAATTACCATTAACAGACATATTTAGATTTTACTTTCCACCTGTTGTAACAACATGGGGAAAATATTATAATTATCTCATATTTTTACTTTCTTTGCTGTTATAATGTAACATTGTAATCATGTCACATTTGACTCTCTGGATTTCGGAATTTCAACATTTTGAGGCCCCCCAAATCCAAAAAGTCAAAAAACTGATACTATGTGTGTGTGTGTATTGGTATATATTTCATACAATATCTTGGGATAGGATGAACAAAGTTTAATTTAGTTTAACAGCATAGTTAAATTACTTTTAACTAAGTGCTTTTGGACCTTTTATTTGTCCATCTTCGAAACATTCTAAATTCTTCTAGGAACACTGATTTTTAAATTGTTTCTCTCAACAGCTTCTTATTGGAACAATAGTTCTAGTGACACGTGTGGGGACCGAGGGGGAGAAACTTAAAAAAAAACTCTGAATTTAACGATAATATGCGATATATATCGTCATCGTCTCCCTTGCCGTTTGGACTGCCGAGCAGTAACAATCAACGACATGTGGAAGCAGTTGAGTCAGAGATAGATGCCTCATTTATAACAACACAACCCGTTTATTAAACACAAAAGAAGCTTACAAGATTTCCGCGATCTTAGAAGTTCTACGTCGGCTGTGGCCTCTGGGTCTTCCTCTCCTTTCCAAGATAGTCCCATTTTGAAGGAGTGTCCCTTGTTTGCGAATGAACAATTCCATCAACGTCTCTATGACTCCGGGACGATGCAGTCGAATTCCATTGATGGAATGATGTCGATCCGAGGTCGAGAGATGGAGAAGAAGATGGGCGCGAGACACACACACAACAATAGATCCATCACTTGGAACTTTCAGAAGAAGAAGCCGTCATGTATTTGAATTTCCAGGGTTTTATCCATTTTTCCTCCGCTTCCACTTTCCGATTGGTCTCTCCTTGTCTCCTGATGACATTTCAAAACCTTTCAGGAGCGCGGGAGAGGTCAAAATCGAAGTTTAATTCGATCTCCAACTGGAGATGGTCGACGGACTTACATTCTTCTATTGTTTAAAAGTTAGTGTCGTGTTTTCATATTAAAAAACTTTATTTCTAATTACTATATTTTTTTCTTTAAAACAAAATTATTTTAATGCAAATTTTAGTCAGGGTTCAGACCTGTCCAGAGCCTCACACACACTTTTTTAAACCAATGTTCCATTTGGTTTAAAAAATTGATTATAAATAAACATTCAAGTGAAATGAATGTTTGTTTATGATATCTCAAACAATGGTAGCAAAGAGATGACAAACATATATAACAAATGAAAACAGTTTGATCATTCCTAATTCAAATTGTACAGTTAAATGCCAGATATAATGAGATATTTTTTCTAAATATACAAAATTTCAGATATAACTTTTTTATAAAGATATATTTGTTAGTTTAATGTATTATTATTGAATTTAAAAAGTCTTGGGAATCAGGATTATCCAATATTTTATAGTATTAACTTATCAAAATGTTTGGTTGATGCAAAAGTTTCTGGAATTTTCTAGAGTTTTATAGTAAATATTTATTTCAAAAACAAAAAATAGTTTATTTGTGAAAATAATTGCCAATTACATTCAAGCACCTTCTTCCTTCAATTAGTCAGGTCAAAGATTCCTGCTGAAAAAAACTCATGCTGTTATGACTTGAAGAACTGCAAATGTGATTTTCATTTCGTCATTATCAGTGTTGTATGGAGTGGAAGAGATGGTAGTT